CAATGAAAAATTTCATTCTCATATATATATATATATCTATTCTTTTATTATATAAATAATTCATATTAATATATAATATATCCTAGATTATTTATATATTATTCTATTTTCGATAGATTTATTTTATAGTTTAATCTATTTAATAATATATTCTTAGATTTAATTTTAATATTCTGAAAAAATATTATAATTCTTTTATCAAGTTGCTTACATTTAGTGTATATATATATATTTATATATTTGTTTATTTATATTTATTTATTTATCTATATATTATTATATAAATTTCATTATCAAGATGATATAATAATAATATAATAATTCTATTCATATGAAATCATGAAATGATATCTAATATTTTCTCGAATATCCGTGCCTCCAAAATAATTTTTTGAAGAACAAATATATTTGTATATTTTTAAATGATATCTTTCGCTACCAAGCCCCATAAACGATCGATCTCATTCGAATATGAATGAAAATAGAGCCATTAATTAAGTTGCTTGTTGGCTTGACATTCCTATTTTGTTGAGCGAGTGGCTGTGCAAGGCATGAGAAAGAGACAGGTAAAGTAATTTGATGTTTGTTATTGTAAATTATGTCTTTTTCCAAATTGAAAAGCCTCCATAGCCATGCATGTCTTGGTCTTGGCCAAGCCGCCAAGGTGCAATGGAACGAATCAGGGCAGCCAGCAATCAGATGAAATGGAATAGCATATATTAACTTCTGAAGTCTTGCAGGAACCACGTTTCAAATCATTCGCGTTCACAACGGCCCAGGAAACGTCCCCACCCCACCTCGCATTCCCGCTCACAGCCTGCGAGTGTGACATTGGAAATTCTGACTCGAAGTCAGTCTTACAATTCAACACTGCTGAACTCAGACTGGTGGCAAATGCCAATTCAGTCTTACAAGTCTTTAAGCACAGGTCCAACCGGCCCCTTGAGGGTTGCAGCCGAGACCCTGAGTGGCATGCGTTTTGGCGCGCCAGAGAATGGCAAAAGATGCTCGTTCCTACGGAAGCGGCTTTCCTTTGCACATCGTTATGAAGCTCAAAATCTCACCACATCCGGCCGTCCTCCCTAGCTGAAGGCGCCTGCCAATGCTATCAGAAGTCATACTCCGATCCAAACTCCGTACTCTTGCGCTATGGCACGTCCTATCATATTCAGGTCAACGCCCGTCTTCATCTATCGTGTTCAGTCAAGCGTTCTACCCCACATTTCATGCGCATTCACCTTTCCTTTCCTTGAAGCCCACCTGCTAGCTCCACCTCTGCCGCATCTGCGCTGTCGCTCGCAGGAGGAGGAACAGTCGGCAGCGTGCACGCCTCACGAGACCGGTTACCACTCGAAGCTTTCACGGATAGGGTCAAGTTCTGCCCGCAGTGCGAGTAAGGGCAGCGCCATGCCAGCAGCAAGTGCGTAGATGCACGCCTCAGTGCCACCATGACATGAAAGAATGATCAAGCACCTGCTGCCCAAATAAGCAGTGCAAACAATTAATCAGGATCAATCAAACTAAGCCCCCGAAAACAGTATCAAAAACTCACTTCGGGGACCAAAAACAGGCTCCGCACGTCCTATTGTTTACAGCAGATGCTGCCTTTCGGGCGCCGGTCTCCGCTTGCGAGACCCCTGTGAAGGTCTGGATGCGTTGGCCATTGGCGTCAAGGACGCCGTCGGCGCTGCGTGTGACCGTGCATCCATCGATCATGAATCGGTCTTGTTGCTTGACATGGGTCTCTGTGAGGGCCTGGTACTAGTAGTGGTAAGCACAACTGTAAGAAGAGTATGAATGTTCATAGTAGGACTACAGTAGGACCAATAAGAAAAGTAATATTAGCAATAGTAAAACTCAAATAATTAATAACCGAAAGCAATAAAGGTAACTACACTTCGGACAGGAAGCAGTGAAGCGTAAGGTTTTCTTGATCCTGTTTAAGCTTGCTTTTGACCCTGATTTGACTCTTTTTGATCCTGCTAGAAATATTCGATCCGCATTCCCACTTGCCAGGGGGCAACCAAAGCAAAACATGGCAACACCGCTCCAGTGGAGTTCGCCTGCATAGCCAAGCCGAGTGAATGCTCACCACCAATGTTGCAATCTGTGTCGCGAGTACTATGCCCATTGTCACAGGATCTTTCAACTTTGGAGAGACAACTGACGGAGGCGACGAAGACAGAGAAATGCGCTCCAAATCTGCTTGTGGCCCAAACAGAAACCCTTGTATGCTGACCATTCTTCAGTCCCACATCACACAGAGTTTACAACATGACAGGCAGCCTTTCCACCACCGGTTGTCGCGGCGAAGACCGAGCCAAAAATGAGGGAGCCGGCCGTCGCCGCCCCCTGCACAAGGAGTCGCTCAAGAGGACTTAAGCGTCCTCCACCGCTTGTCTGATGAAGCTACAGGTGCACAACCATAGCCCAAACATGATAGAGACACATTACACTCCGAAACGGATGCTGCACTTGCAGGTGGACGCCAGGTCCAGAAGGGGTTGATGCACTTCTGTGCTGTGCGGTCAACAATGGTCCACAGTGCTCCACACTTTCCAATGACTCGGGTTCCACAGAAGAGAGAACCGCTTATTCGTTGCAGGCATACGTCAAATCGAGAACCACGCTGCCGGAAGGGTGCCCGGACTCCGGCGCCTTCGTCATGGAGGCCACGGCCCCTTGAATTAGTCCTTGATCTCGCGACGAGACCACAGCGCTCTTCCTGGGATCGCAGCGCACTTCATTTTCAGTGCTTCAGCCCTGCCTCCTCGTCAAACTGATGCCACTTGTGCTCGCAGACTTTGTCAGCCAGGCATAGCTGTAGAGCCCCGCTTCAAAACAAGCTTTGTCAGCCCGCGCTTGCGGGAATCTGCCACGAGGCACAATGCACAATTCTCCCAACGGTGGAATCATTTGGGGCAAGCAAGGCAAGCTGCAATGCCGAAACCAGAGGTATCGACATGACGACCGGGCACACCAGAATTGGAGTCAGCACACCCAGCTGCCATTGATCCTGGCTAATTGCTGGTAACGACTGCATGGAGAAGAAAAAACAACACGTTTGTCGGAAATATGCTTGGGAATTGCCTTGCGCTTGCTTCTTGAAACGCGATGGAACCATTCTTGTCTTTGCTTTGGCTTTCGACAGGCCAGAAATGCTAGCAATTCTTCGGTCGGTAACCTGGAACACAAACTTGCAAGCTACAACTCCGAACACCGTGAATTGTAGCATGTTGCTGTGTTCACCATCTTCAGATGTTCAACAGCGTGAACCCTATGGGATTCTGTGTGGTTGCATGACGGACGACAGCTGGCTTCATTTCCGCCATGCCGGGTTCTGGATGCTACTGCACCACATGCATGAGTTCTAATCTAAGTATGTTGAACAAAAGTGGAAAGAACCCAAATCTGACAATGTGCAATGCCACCCTGCACGGACTTACTTTCTACCGTCATGTGCAGGTTTGCATCCTGAAGTTTCGCTAAGCTTCATAGGGTTTCCTTTCTTCTTTTGGGATTGCGATTGCATTAGTCGTGTTCGAGACTTCAACGGCTCCCTGACAACTCATGTGCATGCTGAGATTATTCCTTCCTTCCGTCTTTCCTTGAACTTCATGCCTTCGAAGCCTTCTTTGCTTTCTGTTCTGTATGAACCGTGATTCATTTTTGCATCTCGTCTCCATCAGGCAACATGCAACAAGACCATTTTTCCATATATTTCCTTCTACCATGATTGCTACTACTGCCATTCCATTGTTGGCATGATCACAGCTGCTACTCGCACTGCCGCTAACCCCACCAGTAAGCAACAGCAACATTTGATTCCATCCATCCTTGCAGACGGCAGTCAGCAGCGGCACAGCAGCCTGAGAACAGGGTCTGTTGTTGTTGTGGGCTCGGCACTCAGCCCTCTCTTGGTGGGCATAAGGACCGGGCTGAGGCGGCCAGGCACAACTGCAGTGTACGGACTTGTCCGAGGGCTTTTACCAGCGGCCCCAAGAGGACGCCGAAAGCCACCTGAGACTTGAGGGTTTAGGGCTTAGGGGGTTCAGGGAAAAGGGGGTTTAGG